GCTGCGAGGGTTCAGATCTTTGGGATTTGGGCCCTAATGGAATTGCCCGACGAACCCTTAAGGACCCGCTCTTGTGGTTGGAGTCTTCGGGTTCATGGTTGGGGGTTCCGGGTTCATTTGCATGGGTTGGACGGGGGAGGGTAAGGCGTTCGCCTAGGCTCCCAACTGGAGTGCCAGTCTTTCGGTGACCTAACCTCTCAATTGCTTCGTCGTTTCCGACTTGCCTGTGCTAAATATCATCCTTGGGTATCTTTGAAAGTGAGCTCGAAAGTGACCTTATCCGAAGCAGCTCCAAGCTCCGAACTTCCAAACTGGTGGTTTAGGGCTTAAACGTTTTGGGGTTTCAAGGTTTAAGGGTTTTAGGATTCAAGAGTGTATGTAGGGTTTAAGAGTTCAAGGGTTTCGGGCTAAGAGCTTGCGGTCTCGTTATAATGTTTCTGCTTCACGCCTCCATTTTAGTGGGAAGGGACCGTGACTTACATTGGCGCAGCACGCTGAAGACAACGCATTTACGCCGAAAGCACCAGATCAGGCATGGCCCTATTTTAGGGTCGTAAGTAATTACTAAAACTATTTTGGGAGTCTCTTCTTATGATTATAATATATGAGGATAAGATATCACAGATCCTTATTCTACGAATTCAGGCCCCGATCCCTTTTTGGAACCCTTAAATCAGCCCGTACGCAGAGCCCTTCAAAGAAACCCTATTCCAATCATCAAGGCCCCTATACTATACCAGCCCACGACGTGAGGCCCTACTTGCTGGCCTCTACACCCTAACCCGAAATCCCTAACCCCTAAACCTTAATCCCGAAACCCTGAAACCTAACCCCTAATCCCAAAAGCCCTAAACCCTCAACCCTAACCCATAATCCATAACCCTAAGCCCTCAGCCCTAAACCCCTAACCGTAATCCCTAAACCCCTAAACCCCTAATCCCTAAACCCTAAACCTTAAACCCGTAATCCTTAAACCCTAAACCCCTAATCCCCAAACCCTGAACCCCTAAACCCCTAACCCCTAAACCCCTAATCCCTAACCCCTAAACCCCAAACCCTAAACCCCTAAACCCTTAATCCCTAAACCCTAAACCTTAAACCCGTAATCCTTAAACCCTAAACCCCTAAACCCTCCGCTCTAAACCCCTAATCCCTAACCCCTAAACCCCAAACCCTAAACCCCTGAACCCTAAACCTTAAACACCTAAGCCCTAAACCCGTAGTCCTTAAACCCTAAACCCCTAAACCCGTAATCCCTAAACCCGTAAGCCCTAAACTGAGGCCCTCCTCGCTGACCCCGATGCCTTGCGTGCCACGGGCCGGGAGCTTCTAGAAGCTCTCGCTTCCCAAGGTGGCTGGGGGTTTCACTTTCCTTTGGGGGTTCCTAGGGTTCCTTTTAGAAGGGTCTATAAGGGTTACTACAAGCTTCTATAGGGTTCCGTTAAAGGGCTCTACAAGGGCTACTATAAGGTTCTATGAGACTTCCTTTAAAAAAAGGGCTCTATAAGGAATACTACAAGGTCCTAGGGTTCCTTTAAAGGGTCTATAGGGGTTACTATAAGGTCCTAGGGTTCCTTTAAAAGGGGATCTGTAAGGCTACTATAATGTATATAGCGGTTTCAACAAATGAGGGCTCCTTTAAAGGGATCTAGAAGGGTTCCTCGAAGGCTTCCTAAGGGATCTATAGTTTTTGTTTTTTTTTGAGGGGGGTAGGGCTTGGGGCTTGCATGGGGTTCAGGGTCTCTGGGGGTTAGGGTGAGGGATTTGGGCTTGAGAGTTCAGGTTTTTTTTGTTTGTCTGTGTGTGTGTGGGGGGCGGGGGGTGAGGTTTGTGGTGGTTTCTATGTGATTATGCATGTAGAGTTGAGGGAGTCGGAATAGGGCGCTGTAGGCGTATGCAATATGGGTGGTTGTCAAAACTATGGTCCCCCTTTTGGGTCATAATATAGTACGGCACATCTTATTTAGGGTACCCAAAAAGGGGCCATAATTTTGACAACCACCCATATTGCTGCATGTGGTATAGGAGATCTAAAAGGTTGAATGCGCGCCGAAGGACGCCATAACCTTAAGGCTCAACGGTTTAGCCTAAGCCCAACTTCCCTAGACCTGAATCATTAAACCCCAGGAGGAGACCCGAAATCCCCAACCCCGTATCAATTATCAATCAAACTCTGTAACCCGTAAACCCTTAATCCCTTAGCCCTAAGTCCCTAAACCCTAAATCCCCAAAGCCCTGTAATCCCTGAATCCCCAAAGGTGCGAGCAACCGGTATAATAGGAATATAATAGGGCCCTAATATAATCCTTATAGTCACTATTACAGGGTGGGGGCAGCTTCTAAAATATGCCCTAAACCCTAAACCCTAAACCCTGAATCCCCAAAGGTGCCAGCAACCCGGTGCCTTTGATCTTGGGCTGCCTTCTCTCCCGGGCTGCGAGCGCCGGGGTTTCCGTGGACGAGGAGGCGGCTCACGGTTTAGGGGTTAGGGTTTAGGGACTTCGCAGAGTTTGGGGGTTTTGTTGGGGATTTTGGGTTTAGGGATTAGGGGTTTATAGGGTTTATAAAGAGGTTTAGGGATTAGGGATCAGTTTTGGATGTAGGGTTTAGGGTTATGGTCTGGGGCCTTTGGGGTTTAGGGTGCAAAGGGTTTAGGGGGTTGAGGGTTCAACGTTTGGGCTTGAGGGTCCGGGGCCTGGGGTTTGGGAAATCAGGGCTTTAGGGTTGGGTACAGGGCCTGGTTTAGGGCTTAGTTTGGGTTTCAGGGTTAGGGTTCGTTCCGTCACCGTTTCTGTTCGTTGATCTTCGACAGACAGCAAGAGCTCCTGCACACTTGGTTGTCTACGTTAGATCAGAGCATTGTGGGGATATAACATGGGGCTTTTATGGTGAATAAGAGTGTGCAAATCAATGCTTCGAAAGAGCAGTCAAACCTCGCCTCATCTGAATGGTGCTGAAGGGGGAGTGGGGGAGCTGGTCCCTACAATAGTCCCTATGTCATCCTTTCCTAGCAGTGCCTACATTCCCTTCTCCACTCTTCAGTAAGGTCATGCTTCATTTGATGTAAAACAGACGGCTTAACACAGAATCCTGAAGCCGAAACATCGAAGTATGACGCTCTCATCTAAAGTACGCTATTGATAACCATGAGGACACCCTTACATACAATGATGGCCGCTGGACGTAGCACTGCGTCTGCTTCAGCTCATGCAGTTTTAGGCGGACTGTGTTCTTCTAAGTACCATTTTGCCGGGGTCAGGTTTGCGGAGCTGGACACTACATCAAGCTTGGCAAGCTTGCTCCAAGAACCTCATTTACGCAGCTTGTCAAGGTCGCTGTAGAGTAAAACATGAGAAGCCACTCCCCGACCCTTGCTTGAAGGGTTTGCTAAGCTTCGTTCATCTACGTATACTTTAGAGAACACACCATACTTCAGAAGCCTGAATAATTGCCAATACTATTCCTTGGTGCTCCTAAGGCCCCATACCCTAAACCCTTATAGACTTATAGAAGCCCTCTAAATTAGTCTAATCATGAGTTACAAGAATGAGAAGGACCCTAAACCCGAAGCTTTAAACCCTAAGCACTACCCTATGTTTATGTGTCCAGGCGCTTCAAGTGGCCTGGCCGCAGGAGGAGCGCCGCGCTCTCCGAGCGAGGCTATCTGGCAAGGAGCCTCGGGGATTAGGGTTTAGGGGTTTAGGGGTTCAGGGATTAGGGTTTAGAGGTTTAGGGTGTAGGAGTTTCGGGGTTTAGGGGTTAGGGGTTTAGGGGTTTAGGGCGGGATTTGGTCAGAAGGGCAACCCTGGCAAGCCTACTGTTTTCGCATCCTCTTTTTTGAATGGTTTATTATTACATGTGTGTATGTATCTGCCTGTGTACCTATCTAATATCTACCTATCTCTCTATCTATCTACCTACCTACAATATGCTTTTTGTGTTTATTTATGCATGTATTTATTTGTTTGTTGGATTCGTTTTGCAGTCGTGTTTGTTTGCCTCTCCATACAAGGGTCGTCCTTTTGAGGGTTGCAGAACAGAGTAGCAGGGGCTTTGCCTGGCTATCTCTTGTATACAATCGGATCATGGGTGCCGCTTGACCCCAGAGGCCTAGATGATATAAACGGATGTCTCTGACTGAGCTGCATAGATCTCCGCATAATTCTCCAGCAGACAAGCGGCTTTCAAATAACTATATGTGGCATAACATACCCCACAGTCCGGGTGAATATGGCATCCTGGTTCGCTTTGCATCGCCCACACGTTCAGTCCGATCCACCCCAGAACCCTACTGAAGTCCTCAAGGCGCTATACAATATAGAAGTGGTTAAACCAAAAAAAGGAACTACAATGGAGACTATAGGTACATACTGCACCCGAACACCTGGAAAATCAGCCAGGACGATACCGAAGTCGACGGAGCCTTCTTCGAGGATTGGTGTTTTGGGCTTCAGTTATAGGATCCTTAAGGGGGGGTGGTTCAAGGGGGGAGGGTACTAGGGGGCTTTGGGGAACCTTAGGGAAGCTTAGGGAGTATTGGGGAATAATGGGGGTTACTAGGTTACCTACCCCCCTTGGACCACCCCCCCTTAAGGACATCCTAATTCAGGCTTCTAGAGATTATCAGGGTTCGGGGCCCCAGTCCAGGTTGCGAGTTTACATAGGGCCTTTAAAGGTGACATTGGCAGTGGTGCTGCTGCTGATACTGATGACGATATGATGGCTCCGGGACTTGAAAACATGAAGCCGGGTGTCTGTGTTTCAGCGTATGTAGTTTTAGGCACATGGCATCTTGCCTCTTCTTCTGGTCCATGGCTCTCCTCGACCGGTCTTCTTCGCAAGATGCTCGGGCTCAAAATTGGCCCAGCATGAACCAAGTGGTGCGTTTCGACGCCATGGCGGATGAACCCGAAGATCCCAATGTGAACCGAGATGAGCTGTTCCATATTGTGAGAGATGGCGACTATGTTGATGCCAAGAAGGCCTTAGCAAAGGCAGATATGGCTTGGCGGCATACAGCTCTGCAACAAAATTTCTTGTTCTTTATTGCGGCACGGCGCCGCCGGGGATCCGAATTATTAGCAAGGCAGTGCATCGAGATGGGTGTTAATCTAGAGGAAGTGGATGTGCACGGGCAGACGCCTCTGTTTTGGGCTGCAGCGCGCGGCAATTTGGTCATAGTGAAATTCTTGCTTAATCTGGGGTTTGAAGTGAACTTTCGCGACAAGGCCAGGAAGACTGCTCTCTTCTTTGCCATTGAGAAGAATCACATGGACGTGGTCGACTACCTGATCGAACGTTCTGCCTCCACATTGGTTCGGGCTTCCGACGGCAAGACACCACAGTTGATGCTAAAGGCATTGAATCACAAGGCCCCCAGCAGGAAAAGAGAGTGGGTGTCACCAACACCGAGTTCCACGTGTCCGGGCGCGGCAACACGGAGCCGTTTTGCCCAGTGGGAATGGGCCGGGGCCCAGGAGGAGACTGAGCCACTGATTGAAAAAAAGGAGGACAACGTGCTCGTGGAGAACGCGCAGTATCTCAGTTCACAAGCTAGTGCGGATGTCAAACTAACTGCTGCGCGAACCCGCAAGAACAAGATCACAAGAACAAAAACAAGCACAATAGCAAGATCGCAAGAACAGGAAGAGTAAGGAGAACACCACCAACAACAAAAAAGCACAATCAAAAAAATGCACCAACAGCAGCAACAACAGCGACAACCACAGCAACGACAACTAACAAAAGCAAGCAACACGACGACACCATCATCACCACCACTACTAACGACAGCAACAGAAACAGCAACGCGAACAATAACAAGAACAACGACGATAACAAGAACAGTAATAGCAACAGCAACAACAACATCAACAGCAACAGCATCAGCAACAGCCATAGCAACAGCAACAGCAACATCACCAACGCCACTAACAACACCAACATCACCAACACCACCACCACCACCACCACCACCACCACCACCACCACCACCACCACCACCACCACCACCACCAACAACAACAACAGCAACAACAACAACAACAACAACAACAACAACAACAACAACAACACAACCACCACCAACAACAACAATAACTTGGGGTGTTTGTGTGTGTGAATGTTTCTGGAAATCTTCTTCTAACTGGACAACTAAGGTACTACGTGTGTGCATCAGTGACCGGGTGTTCGAAGCGCCTCCGCCGCTCGGAACGGGAGTTTGTTGGAGATCATGCTCATCTCCATCAACAGGAGACCTGGTACAGCAACTTGACTCCTGAGAATTCTGCCGAGCTCGTGAACGTGAGCATGGGCGACGAAAAAGCACATGAGAATGTAATTGACGAGTTGGCGCAGGGATCACGGCCTAGCGCCTTCACGCTGGCAGCAGTGTCGCAACAGACTCGCACACTCGCTGGTTACGTGTATGCATCTTTCACGGACGAGACGTTGAAGATCGGCCAAGTGAAGGTGGACCGCCCCCATCAAGAACGGGGACTAGGCGGTCTGCTACTTAAAGCGGCCGAGAAGCGAGCACAGAACTTGGGAGCATCCATCTCGAAAGTCAAACTCTCGGTCCTCGAAACCAACAAAGGGGCTCAAAGATGCTATGCAAAGTCGGGGTTCAAGGTTACCACGACATACTCGTCAAGTTTTCCACCGTGCGCTTGCGAAGCTAAGCGAATCCCTTGCCACCATGAGAAGATCCGGTGGTACAACATGGAGAAAGCTTTGCCTGACAACACGGCCTGAAAAACAGGCTGCTTCCCGGTGAGGGTTGAGGGTTAGGCGCTCCCGGGATTCATGTGTGGCGGCTCAGGGTTTGGGCCTCGAGTTCAAGTGTTTTTCAGATGTCATTTGTTGGTCTGGGGGGTGCAGGTGTTGTTTTGCAATCTTTTGTTTAACTAGGATGCCCAGTAGTACCCTTATTCCCTTTTTGTAGTCCTAGGTTCCTTATAAAGTTACCCAATACCAAAAAGAGAGGCCTGTTTATTCTTAGGTTACTGGGTATCCTAGTTTAACTGTTTTCAGTAGATTGCGAGTGTGTAAGTGCCTCAGGGCGGAAGGTGGTTCTTTCGGTGTGATGGCTTCGCGGTAAATCCCTGAACCGATATTGAAAAATAGCTTCCAAGCTCATATAGCACCATCAACCTTCGTGAACCCTTAAACCCTGAAAGCTCTTCGAAGACCGCAACGCTATCCTTGAAAGCCCCAGTGAAGGACCAACAGCAAAGCCTCGAAACTAAACCCCCTAGACTTAGACTTCAATCTCAAGGCCCTACAGTCTCAAACCCTAAGCTCTAGACCCTTAAGGCCAACCCCTTCCAACCTAAACTCTCGAACACTAACCCAAATTAAACCCTAAACCCTGAACCCTATAGACCCAAACCCTACACTCTAAACCCTACCCTAAACTAAACCTGCCTACGTTCAGGCGCTCACGCGCTGCCTCAGCACCTTAGCAGCTGAGTGGATACACTTTGCACTTTTTGGGATAATATTACCCACTATAAATCCAAAAGTGTACACTTTTGGGGGGCTTATGGACTCCCCAGAGGGTCCAAGTACCCAAATAGCAGGGTTTCAGATCCCAAAATCCATACCCTGCATGGCTTTTGGACCTTGAAGCCCTACTATTTGGGTACTTGGACCCTTAGGGTTATGAACCCTAAACCCTAAACCCTAAACCGAAAGCCTTAGGGTTATGAACTCAGCAACTAAGGCACAGTCCTAGCCGCCTTGGGGGGGCGGCTTGGCCCCGCGACGGTCGAGGCCGCTGGGTCTCCTTTGGGCTTGGGTTCGGTAGGGCCCTGTAAGGGAACTTGTAGGGTTCCTTTAAGGGATCTATAATAAGGGTTCTATAAGGGTTTAGGGTAGAAGGGTCCATGTGCCCGAATAGTATATACTTTAGCCTTGAAGTACTCCCTATAAAGGTACATTGGGCCCGAAGTATATACTACCCAAATACATGAACCTTTTGGGGGAAGCTTATAGAAGACAGAATGACTTCTGCCGTAAGTGTCCAACTGGCTAAACCGGTCCACCGAAACCTAGCTATAGCTGGTACGACCCTCAAAGAAGTAGCCAAAGACGCAAAGTTGGGTGCAGGGTTCAGCGACTTTGCAGCCAAGTATAGCCTAAAGACCTAAAGTGCAGACCCTTGCGCATCTGAGTTCATACCTATAGTCTCCATTGTAGTTCCTTTTTTTGGTTTAACCAATTTCATATTAGGGATCCTAAAAGGTAACCCCAAAAAGGAACTACAATGGAGACTATAGGTAGATTCAGTTCAGTAGACGACACCCTTCTTGCATTACCCTATCAAGCTGCCATGCCATCCACCTGCATTTTGCAATTGTTTGCTATCCCAAGAGTGCTAAGCAAGAAATAGTCAGTAATCTATCAATCCCAAGCCTCAAACCCTTAATGGCGTCAAATGCCCAACAAGCCCTGAGACCTAGTATTCTGCAGGTTTTCGGGGTTCCTCCTGCAAAGCTTTCCCGAACCCTTAAACCGCTAAACCCCTAGCCCCTAAACCCCCCAACCCCTGAACCCTAAACCCCTAGACCCCTAAACCATAAACTTTGCCCGAACAGACTGCGAGGACGTGGCGTCTCTACTCGATGCGAGCACGCCACCACACTGGATCTCTGAGTGGATTGTCGAGGCCAGATGGGGTTTTCCGAGAATAAGGGGTACCTTAGCTTGGGGTCCTTATGATAAGGATCCTACTATTAAGGGTACTACATAAGGGTCTCCCTTTTTTCGGAAACTCCCAGATGGAGGTTGGGACTATGGCGGGTTCGCGGACTTGAACCCTACAGTGCACAGGCCTATAAATCCTAAACTCTAAATCCTAAGGATCCCCGAAACTCCTGAACTCCGAGTCGCAAAACCTTGCAGGCCCGTAGTACGGGGTGCAGGGACGGTTAGGGCCGTTGTGCGTGAATTTTATATGTAAAGACTCTATCAACCCTGTTCCTGCCAGCCCCAAACCCTAAACCTACACATAAGGACTCCTTTAAGGGATCTAGAATGGCTCCTTTAAGGAATCGATAAGGTACCATAAGGGTTTGGGGTTTAGGGTTTAGGGTAGGGTTACAGGAGAAGCCCAAAAGTTGGAAACCCAATAGCTTCAATCCTTAAGAGTATTGAGTGTATAGGGAATCCCAGCACTATTTGGCCTTGATCCGGTTTCCAACTTTATGGAGTTCACTGTATAGGGCCCTTAATAATTACCTAGGGTTCCCTTTAAAGGGATCCTTCAAGGGGTCTATAAGGGATCTTTAATCCTACTTAGAGGATCATGGGACTTAGTAAGTAAGGTTAAAGTCCCCTAATTGGGGTTATAGGTAGTTCTAAGATTTATAACCCTAGTTACTAAGTTCCATCAGCCTTTAAGTAGGGTCGTTTACTATGCTCGCAACCCTCAGTCGAAACCTATGACTGGGCTCTGAACTCTCGGCTGAAGAGCCGGGGCCTTGAAGAGAGGTTAGGGCTTTTGAAAAGGGCTCCTTAAAGGGATCTGTAAGGGGTTTTAGGGGTTTTGGGCCGGTTTTGGGGCTTCGTGGTTTTTGGGTTTGGGTTTTGGGGTTTAGGTTTAGGCGTTTGGGGTTTGGGGGGTTAGGAATGGAATGCAGGGATCAAGGGTGTAGGCTTCAGCTCCTTCCATCTAAAGATCCTGTTGGATGCCCTTTACACTGCTATCTATCTTCTTTCTTACGCCATATGCTTGCCCTTATAAGCTCCTCTTTCGGGTTTGGGTGTAGGCTCGGGGTTTAGGGTTGTGGGGTTATGTTTAGGGTTATCAAGCACTGTCTAGCCCACCAAGCAGGAAACCCTGGCGATGGATCCTGCCGCGACAGACACTTGGTTCATACTATAGGGGCCTAAAATCACCAATGCTATCTTGGCGGCTCCCTATTTTTGCTGTCGTCTAATCTACACCAAAACCCTATTCTAATTATCAAGGCCCCTGTATTAAAGCCGCTTAGGATTTTAGGGTTCAGGATTTCGACCATCGGGTTTAGGGTTAGCTGCTAGCTAGGATGCCCAGTAGTAACCTTATTCCCTTTTTGTAGTCCTAGGTTCCTTATAAAGTTACCCAATACCAAAAAGAGAGGCCTTTTTATTCTTAGGTTACTGGGTATCCTAGTTAGGGTTCAGCGTCTGGGGGTTTTGGGGGTTTTAGGGCTTTGGGACCTCCGGGGGCCGCAAGGGAATAAAAGTTTTCTATCATAGGCTTTAGGGATTTAGGCTTTAGAGGTTTAGGGTTTAAGGGTTTAGGGTTTTTGTGGTTTAGGGTTTAGGGGTTTAGGGTTGTTGAGGTTTAGGGTTTAGGGGTTTAGGGCTTCAAGTAGGGACGCGTCCTCTGGCCTGAGCTCTAAGAGCCCCATAAGCTCCGCCAGGCTACAGCTTACCAGGACCCCCCAAAGTTGCCGCTTAATATCATATTCTGGTATGACCACCAACCATATCTACTTTTGCATGTGTTACTGTACCCTAAACCCCCTAAACCTCTACACCCCTCCAGGAACCTTAATTAAAGGAACCCCTTAAATTAAGGGAACCCTAAACCCCAAACCCCTAAACCTCTGCTTCCTTTAGGTAGAGTTTAGGGTTGAGGAGACTTTGAGTAACAGCCCCTCTTCAGAGCTTGCATGATTTCCTCAGGGTGCGGTGGTTTTGTTCATAGAGGTCAGAGTTGCATGCCAATGATGCTGGCTCTTCAACTAGGAAAGCACCTTAGAAGCATTACAAAATGACTGGTCTCGGTTTCGTCGTATAAGTTTTCATTTACAGAGGTTGTGACAGGGTTCCATGCTTGCACAACCCACCAGAGTTCGCATATGACGACAGAGTACGGATGCAGTACGGTGCATCGTGCACAGGAGCCAGCATAATATCGGGGTCTGAATACTCAGAGGTCATGTCGCCTTATAGTCTCTTTAGCCAATGTAGCTATGACGGCATGCCGTGGCCGTCATTTTCGATTTGCGGTGTGCGAACCGTCGATCCAAACCTCCTGCTTTAGCTGCATCTTCTTGTCTGGTGAGAAAGCGCACTGGATACGTTTTCAACAAGAGCCCAATCGCACTTATGATGCCAAGATAGGTGCAACTGCAAGTTGCTTCAAGCAGATGATGACAACTTTGGCAACCAGCATCAGAGCAGATAGCCGTTGCTGGCATGACTATTGCGTTTGATTGACAATGACAGTGTCAGCCAAGGTTGCTAGTTCACGTATTGTGAACATGACTTATTGTGCTTCAACCACTGATGTTAGCAGTGTTAACATTTCAACATTCATGTGGGAAAAGCTCGTGATGATGATGATGATGATGATGATGATGATGTTGATTCTGATGATGGCGATCACGATTATGATGTTGACGATGGTGATGACTCATGATGCTGACATCCGTACTAGCAGGACCCATTATTGGCGCCAAGCAGCAACTTAGTAGTGTGTATCGTGAGTTCGAAGCCAAAGCTCTTGCTGCCAAGACAGCAGAGTCAGTGCATTCGACGGCTGATGACAAAGATGCATCCAAAGAGGTGCCCAGGGTCGGATTGGGAAAGTGGCTTTGTGTTTGCGGGTTTTGCTTCTTCGGCAACTGATCAGCTTTGTGTGTATACACGCATGCCGCATGCATCTCTGCACACATGTGCACACATAACTGCGTGCCTCCATGCACACAAAGTTATGCACACCCATGCGCAGCACATCTCCCCATGATACCTGCCTGCCTTCTTGTGCCCCCCCCCCCCCCCCCCCCCCCCCCCCCCCCCCCCCCCCCCCCCCCCCCCCACCCCCCCCCCCCACCCCCCACCCACCCCACCCCCCACCCCCCCTCCTCCCAAACAACTGAAACCCACAAGCCGCCCCCAACCCAAAGCCAACCGACCACCTTGAACTTCGACCGCATCCTAAATCCTTACAGCCCAACCATGAGCCCCGAACTCTCAAATTTTTGCCGCAGCATGTAACACATACACCCTCAACTCGAAGCATTGATTGACATGGATAAGGTAGAGGTCCGAATAAACAGTAGCTATGCATGTCCACTTAATTTCCCTATATAACTAAATCATAGCATACCCCGCCTCCCCTCGAACCTTATGCAAGTTACTAAGTGGGAGTTTCCGAATACAGGGGACCCGAATATGTCTAGGATCCTTATAATAAGGATCCCAAAATATGTACCCCTAATTTTTGGAAACCCCCAAATCTTTTTAAGGCCCCTAGAAAGGCCGCCGGAGCTGATCCTGATACTGCCGCGATGTTTTCTGTTGTCGTGGAGGCTCGGGCAGGATCAGTTTAGGGCTTTCTAACGTAGGGAGTAGGTCCAGGTTTCGCGGGTTTAGGGTTCAGAGTTTCAGTCTCGGGCCTACACGCTTTATCACATGGTGTTCGTTGGGTCTCTTCATATGTTCTATGAGTCTAATTAATTATAGAGGTTAGTTGACAGATGTAGCAGTTTTACTATATTATGGACAAGAGCAAGGTCGGACAGTATTATCGACAATATTCAAACAAACAGCACAACCGGCCTCACACGCCAAAGCCCCAAACGGCACAGCAAGGTTCCTTCGAACGGTCTGTGCCGTGCATCTCGGAGCTTTGATGGCCCTGTGGTCGTGGGGCTCGGCTTTGGGTGACCCACGACCATCTTTGAAGCGACCTCCCACACCCCCAAACCACATGGGTGGTTGTCAAAATTAGGGTCCCTGTTTTGGGTCCTTATTATCATACGGCACCTAATATGTAGGGCACCTAAAAAAGGGATCCTAATTTTGACAACCGCCCATATCTTTGTCAGCGAGTTCTTTTCCCATCCACTGCTGAAGCTCGGCACAGGAATCATCCGTCACGAGACCGCCACCTTTGGAGGCTGTCGAGGGTCCCTTTTCGAAGCGCATGGGCCCGGTTTTAGGGATCAGTAGGATTTGGGATTTTGGGAAGTCGGCTGATACTATGCCAGAGGTTGTACCAGGTGGGGTACTTATTATGGAAAGAGCACTTACGAGCGCAGAGCTTTCTGTGTGACCTGCCACGCACAAAACTATCGCCGCGCTGGAGTTGGAACAGCTAGCATGAGGGTTTGGGCCACGATCCGAAGGCTTAGGTTTCGAGTTTCAGGTATACCAGTTCGGGTTTTGGGGTTTTTGAACATTCAGGTTTAGCATTCAGATTGGTCGGGTTTCGCCAACACCTCCGAGATAGTAATCGACAGGCTGCTGTCGTTGAGTCGAGATCAGTTGCGGCGGCTCCTGCACTGCTTTTCATTGATGCACGAGTCGTGTCCGCAACGGCCGTGGCAAGTACAAGCCAGGGCAACTGCCGACTCAATCTCCGATAGTCGTCAAAACCAACATATTTCACATTCATCATAATGCCAACATGGTCACGACTACCATCTTACAAGCTGTCTCAGTAGTTCGAAGCGGAATCCCAAGACTCGGGCGGTACCCCGAAGCCAAACTGATTTCTTGTGCCTCGTGCCAGGACAGGATGCACAGCCCCCCCATCCAGGAGAAGCAGTCTCCTGTGATGGCAGAGGTGCAACACTGGATAATGACAGTTGTAATTGTATATAACATATGCACTTGTCTGCGAGTCTAGGTATGCATTCTTGTTGTTATGGCCTGGTATCATTATTGTTGTTACTGTTGTTCGTGATGCTTTGACTTGATTTGATATTCATTACGTTTGGGTCTTCGGGTGTAGATTTTGGGTGAGAAGGCTTATTCAAGGTTGGATCTAGGGCTTACTTACCCGAAACCCTTAACCTCCTATCCGGCTTGCCTCATTTCGGCTGTGGGTTGAAAACTCCTTGGTGGTGTGGGAGATCGGTAGTTTAGAGTTTAATGTTTAGGGTTGGGGTTTAGGGTTTAGTGTTTAGGGTTGGGGTTTAGGGTTTAGGGTTAGGGTTCAGGGTTTAGGGTTTAAGGTTAGGGTTTAGGGTTTAGGGTTTAGCTGAAAAATCATGTTTGCGGCAGGGTTTAGGGTGCAGGGTATGGGTGCAAACCAGCCAAAAGCCCCGCCAAAGTTCAGGAGATGTATATTGTTGGTCGTGTTCGTTTGACCAAGGGCACCGACATGGAACACCGAAAGCATGATTCTGTCGGCTGAAAAACAAGTGAGAATTCAGAAAGGAACACTGCAAAACCTCACGCCCTAAAGCCTCAAAACCTGCGGCCGGAAACCGGGCTCTAGTAAAAAAAGAAGACGTACCCATGCCGTTCTCTTGATCCCAAGCCCCACGGAGTCTATTTGTTGAAACCTATTGTGTCCTTCGAAGGGTCTATACATAAGAAGCCAAACCGGGTTTTAGTAACTGGGGCCGTGGTAGGGTAGGGTACTCATAAGCTGGTTGAGCGTAGCAAGTCCGAAACCCCACTATCTTCAACTTGGCCTCTTTGCGCGTAGATCGCAAGCTGAGATGAATATAGACGCCTAAGTAATTACATATACTATGTTGGGGGGTTCCTTATTGTAGTTGTTAGTATAATTTACCACAAAAATACCTATATATTCTGATTATTATGAAGGCCCCTACATTACTGCGCAGGCGGCATTGGCACAGATGGAAGCGATGCACGAGCAGGCTGTTCGTAGGGAATGCCAATGCCAAGCCCTTTTTGTACCGCGTGGTTTAGGGTTTGGGGCCTATGGGTTAAATGATTAATTATGCCATGGGATTGTACATGTATGTGTGCACACATAGACATACGCATCAACAAACAAACAAAGACGAAGAAGATGTAAACACGCGCAAGTACTGTATCTGATGAAGTATAAATAAACACACAACTAAGCAGACACATAAACAAATGAAATGACAGTAGAGACTTACAGGGATAGAATAAAATGAGTCGTTGAGTAAATTTCAGTGAACAGGTAAGTTAAGTAGAATGTGTGTGAGAGTTACACTAAGATCAGCAAAGCGGGATTTCAGGGTCCCCGGGTTTGGAAACAGGGTTGCTGTGGAATTG